TGAATCAGCACTAGTAATGATGCATATGCATTCATAACCCACCAAACTTCTTCTAAGGGACACTTTTCTCTACAAATGTTTAGTGGGCTCCATTTTTAAAATTTGTTCACTGTTTCTTCATGGGCATTTCAGCAGAAATATTAGAAAAATACTAACTGCAACTTTTTTTTTAAAAATATTTCATTAAAAAAGCAAAAAAATCAAGCAAAAGGAATTCTTTTGGGAAAATTACATAGAAATTCCATATAAGGATTTCAATTACTTTAAAGTCTCATAAAATATACAAATTGCTACCAAATCTCAAATTCTGTGCAATTATAATTTGGCAAAAAAAAAATTATAACTTACCAAGTTGCCATTTTCTTTTAATAAATTCTTATTTTCCTTTGTTAAGTTGTAAATACATGAGATTTGAGACTTGAAAATATTTTATAAATTTTATAAAATTTTTTAATAATTAAAATCCTTATGAGGAGCTTTAGAGTGATTTTTCCACTCTCTTTTCTTCACGAGTGGAGAGATGTTTTCTTGGAGGATGAGAGGAAAAAAGATAAGAATAAAAAATTTAAAAATAAAAAGCCAATCTCTTTAAGTAGAACTAATAAATAATAAGTGTTGATCCTTATGAAATAAATTATAATTTTATAAATATAAAATTTTATATTTAAATTTGTGTAAATGCATAAAAAATATTTTAAAAAGTTATCTCTAATTAAATTTTGGATAGATGAGCAAATAATCTTAACCTTAAATTTGTTTATTGTATAAATTGTTTCTTCAGTTCATTTTTTGAATAATCATGATGGGCAGCGCACACTCTTGAGTCACCATGATGAGATCTTTTTGACAAAGCAGCTGGTAATCCTAACCCCCACGCCTTTCCACTGGCCTTTCCGCGTTGACCAACCAGGGAGACCTTTTCATTAAGTTGGTTAATTGATTAATCATTTCGAGATTACTTGCAGTATTAAGCTTATTAGTTACGCCCATTACTACACTAATAGAATACTAGCACTACCTAAACAAACAAACCTTGTTTCATTCATCATGGTCCCTTTGCTTCGCTCTTCCGTTTTCGCTTAGGTGACTAGTCCCCATCATTTGAATCTTCAAACCTCATTCATGCCTCCTCTATTTCTATATTCCCCACTCTACTCTTTCAATCATGACTGATCACACAATTAAAGGGCTTCATTATTTGTCTTCTTGAATAACAGTTAAGAGATCGAGGATATTATAATTATAATTATAATTATAATTCTAAGTAAACATCAACTCTAACGTAGTTAATTCGAAGGGTTAGGCGAGAAAGTGACACGGTGCTAATTATAGCATGACATGCACATCACCATCATCATCATAGAAATTGAAATTCAGGCGCTTCTCGGCCATGTATGCTTGATATCTAATGAACATAGTCAACTTGATTTATTTGTTTTTTCTAAAAAATAAAAAGAAAACAAAAGTGGGGGAATATGCTCCCATAGAGAAGAGAGTTTTGTTTCGGATAGGGGTTGAACCACTAAGGGCAGAATCTTTTGGGGGTCTCGTGCCTCATTTTTTCTATGGATATGAGTGAAGCTCGTAACTGATCAAGGTAGTAGGTGCTAACCCCTCACCAACCAACACGTCCTTTTCACAACCCCATCAACAATCCCCACAAAAACTCCTCTACATGCCCTTTGGTTTCTCACATTCTTTTTTGTTTTTGAAAAAAAAAAACACAATAATATTTTCATGTCTAACAGTGCTCTACCGATCTAATTGAAATTGAAGCGTCTCGTCTTTTATTTGCTGTGCATAGGTGTCTTTTTATTAAAAGTGATATTGTTTAAAATACAGTCAGTCATTAATTGTAAGTATATCATTTAATAAGAAATCAAATCTTAGTTCAATATCTCTGTAAGTAATTAGTTCTTTTCTTAAACTCAACCATTGTTAGCAAACATCTCAAGTTTTAAATAAAGAAAAAATACTCCTTTAACATGATCGTTTGTTAAGGATTATTAGACAATAACACGATGCTAAAAAGTTACAAATTTTAACTTTATTGATAGTATTCTTTAATGGTAATTGATATATGTGCACATGGAAGAATTATAGGTTGGGAGATTCTCTCTATGTTTTGCTTTCTATTTTTTCTTTCTTTGTTGCCGAGAAGATTTTAAGCCTGTTTAGAAATTTATCTTCAATTTTCTGTTCTTCAAAATCAAAAAACAAAAAAAAAATTATTTAATAACATGTTTTTAAAAAATATTTTAAAAATTATAAAATATTGCTCTAGAAAATAAAAAATAAAAATAAATTTAAGTATTTTAAGATTATTACTTTAAAAAATAAGAGAAAATAAAAAATAATTAATTATTGTTATTATTATTATTTATTTTTAAAGCATATTCTATAAAATATTAATTTTTAAAATAATAAAATTGAAACAGTTTCAAACAAGCGCTCATCTTCCCAAGGCAAAGCTATCGTCAAGACGGCCAATTATTTTTGGGCCCACTGCGGCGACAGGGCGGTACAGGCACCCGAGTCACCGTCTCCACCAAACCCCCTCCACTTCATCCTACAATCATAGAGAGGGAACATTCGAAGAATTACAAGTACCATATAATTCATTGGCGTTTGTAAATTCTATGTGGCGCAAAATATCGTTGTTTTTTATTTTAGTAATTAGGGTGAGCCACATGAAATTCGAAATGAGTACAGTTCGCCAGGAATACGATTTGAGAAAAATTCAAGCGCAAACTTGCAGATTCCTTAAGTTTTGTTGGCCAACACAGACTACCTCCATTTCACTTGCCAGTTTTATCAAAGTCGGTGGATTACTATAGAAAGCATGACTCAATCTTATATACTTAATATATTTTTATTTAATTAAATTAAAATAAATAATTTTTAAAACATTAATAATATAAATAGCAAAAATTAATTATACAATAGATATAGATAATATATAAAAAAATTAATGTATCTCGATCTTTCTTGAATGCCAGCTCTCGAACTTGTGATTTGAAGCTTGAAGTATAGCAACAAATTACAAAGGCACAGAGTAGCTGCAAATATGTATTGATTTAATTAAAAATAAATATTTACAATGATAAGCAAAGACTTAAATTGACACCCATGGATATCAGTGGGGTCCACTTAAGAACCAGTTTGCACGGATCCAGACCCCCGCGAGGCGTTTCTTATCTTTAAAATGGCAATACTGGCCCTGAGCTACAGGGAGGGAGAAATGAGAATCAGGTCTGAGTAGTTCGTAAATATGAGCAGTACCAAAGGGTATAACAGTAGTTATATTGAAATCTCATTGGACCGCTTCCATTTGTGGACTTGTGGTCACTGCGCACGTTTATTCCCGGAAAATGGCATATGATAACAATGACTGCAGCCTGTCCTCCACTAATCAGTAGTCACCTGCTTCTTTTTTCCCTCTTATCACCAAAGTATATAATCTCTTTTTAAAAATCATAAAATATTTTAATAATTTTTTAATTTTAAAAATTAATCAGGGATATTTTTTTTAAAAACTTCATTAGTTACTCATAAAAAAACTAAAATATTTTTTTATAAAAGAATTTAAGTGAGTTAAATTTAATAACTCACTAGAATTATAACATATCATTAGACTCAATAAATATTAATAAAAATATTTGCAAATTACTCTGACGGCAATTTCACATACAAGAGTTCATGAAGACCTCAAACATTGAAAAAAATACTTAAAGAACCAATAATATCCTGTATTAATTTTAAAAAGTGCCATAAAATATTTTTTAATAATGATTTTTAAAAGGTAAAAACAGTGAGTTCATTTACAAAAATTGAATTCCCAGTTATAAATAATAAAAACTTAGTTACAAAGATCTGTTGAATAACTTATTATTAAACATTATCGATTTGCAGATTAGTTGTTCGTTATTTTCAATTCAACTTGTTCTTGATTTACAATTTGCATTCTTCATGATTTTCAACCAAACTTTTAAGTTTTAGCATATAAATAACACAAAGATATACAGATGTGGTTTTAAATAAAATTTTCACCGAGCCCTCATTGTTTATAACTATGATTCTGACTTCCCTCCCTGAAGACTGAAGTTACTATGTTCTCTGATTCTATAGAAATACTTCGATAATAGCATTTCTATTAAAAAATTCAGTAAATACTTCACTATTAACTATTCATTATTTTTTTTATACACTATTATCTACTCATTATGCACAATAACGAACCCAAAAAAATTTATTAGTGGGACTGTGGGAGCAATATTTATACTAAATATAAATATTTACCTTTTTAAAAAAATATAATTCTAAATATTAATTAAATAGATATACAAATAAATTATATAAGAAGTTTAAAAATATAAATTAATTTCATTTCCATCATAAATTTATTTTTTATAATAAATAAAAGACAAGCTATATTTTAAATAGAATAAAGTGTACATTTGATCCTCTACTTATATATTATAAGAATCCATTTTGAATCCTAATACTATCAGTTTTAATTGATTATTTTTTGTGCTATTCATTACTATTTTAAAAATTTAACTTAATACATTGATATCTAAAAATGTTTTGTTAATATTTAAAAGTTTAATATAAAAAAATTTTGTTGATCAAACTAATTGTATTAGAATTAAGAGACTAAAAAAACTTTACAAAATTAAAAAATAAAAATAAAAATTTGTGTGAAATTAAATAATTAAATATAAATATTAATTTTTTAAATATGAATGTTTGGTTAATTTTAAAGAGAGCATGGGGTAATTAATTATAAGGAGTAGTTGCAGTTTTAAAAAGGGGATAAATGTAATTTTAACATGAAGATGAGTAAAATTTTTACTTATTCTTATATTACAAACGTGGGTAGGTCTTTGATGATGTGATTAACATGGATGGTGTTATAGTCTTTAGTTCAAACCTAACTATACGACAACATTGGTGATGGATTAGCTATTGTTAAGTCTTCTCAAATGGATATGAGGCAACCTCAGGACTAGCGATGGTCCCTCAAAAAACATGGAAGAGGATCTTTATGACTTTTACCCCCGGTATCTGGTTTGCGGTTAGTTGTTCTCACTTCTCATCCGCATCTCTGATCTAAGCACAAATCCAGGAGAGAGAGAGAGAGAGAGAGAGTTGATTCCCAAGCTTGCCATTGGCAGTTTTGACCTCTCTGATCTATACACAAATCCTGTTATGACAAAAATAAACCTCCGAGGAAACATAATTAATTCAAGTCGTCTCTCTCTCTATCTCTGAGTCCCGTTGCACCTTCGGCTGGTCACTCCGCAACGAAGCTCCGGCGACGATTTGGCTCGTCCATGGGGGTTTCTTCCCGAGGCAGTCCGTGGGACGATGTCGTAGAGATGACCAAGGCAGCTCAGGGGAAGGGTTGTGACCCTTTAGGCTGGGCTATACAGATACATTCACATTTAAATTCAGCGGGAGAGTCCCTGCCTTCGCTGGAGCTCGCCAGAGTTCTAGTATCGTACATTTGCTGGGAGAACAATGTTCCCATTATGTGGAAGTTTCTGGAGAAGGCCTTCATGTTGAAGATCGTGCCTCCTATGCTGGTTCTTGCTCTGCTTTCTGTGAGGTGTGTGTGATTCAATTTTCACTTACCAAATTTACTTCTTTATTTGATGATTAAGCGGTGATCAATTTGCCGAGTCTTTTCTTATTGGAGTTACTTCTGTTCCCTTTTGTATTCACTATAATATCATCTGATCAGATTGAAATGGCGTCTGCATTTATGGGTTCCTTGATGCGCTGCACTTTTGGGCATTGATGGGCCATATTGATACTTCTATTCTTTTTTTCAGGGTTATTCCTTGTAGGAATTTCCAACCTGCGGCATATAGGCTATATTTGGAACTTCTCAGAAGACATGCTTTTGAGCTTAAATCTCAGATAAATGGGCCAAATTATCTAAAGTAAGATTCGATTTTATCTATCAGAAATTTTATAGGTTTCCTCACTTTATATCCTTAGTGTGTTCAAAATCTAAATCCATACATCTATATATAATAATATAAAAATCGAATAAACCTCACTATTCTTAAGCCATGAATTTTGCGACTCATTTCTTGAAGCTCAATGCATGGGACTCACTCTTGTTGTGTGCAGGCTCTTAAGTCTTTGGAACTGCAATCATGTTGTTCTTCTGACACTCTATTCAATATGCTCTGCACCATCAAAACTTGATAGCTCAAATTTGTCCTGTGCTTGTGATTTCTGCATCACATCAAATCCTTTTTCCATTGTCACTAAAGTGATTAACAATCTGTTGCTTCTGTTTGGTAATCATAATTTCAGATGTACCAAGGTTTGTGTCACCAATTAACCTTTTTGCTGCTAAATTGAAGGCTTAGTGATCCAAAACTTTATTTTCATCCCCCATGGTTCTTGCTGGTCTGGTATAATATAAACTCAAGAGTATATCAAATGGCTGAATGACAGTTAACTTGAACAGGTTGCATCTATGATTAAATAAGAGGAGTTGAAGAGATTGATGAAGTGATTACCTTTGTGGGGAAAGAAAACTCCTTTCTCTATGATGATGCTGGAAGCAACAGTTCCTATCAATTTGTTTAACTACAAAATAGACTTAGCTCCGTTTTATGTGAAGATTTCATGAAGATTTTGATTGTTTGAGAATATATTTCAGATGCTAGTTAAAGTATAAGTGAAGTTCATCTTAAATTGGTGTCATTCTTGTTGCACCAGTTGCTGAAACTGGTGATATTAATAGTTGATTTTGGAGTGAGGTGGTTTCTTTCTTTGTCTAAGTCTTTTGCTTCTGCTTTGGACAGGGTCATGAAGGCAATAGATCATGCCCTTCATCTTTCCCAGACATTTGGCCTTACACATAGTGAGCCTGGCATTATAGTGGTTGAATTTATTTTTTCCATTGTCTGGCAGTTGCTTGATGCATCAATGGATGATGAAGGGCTGCTAGAACTTATTCCTGAAAAGAAATCCAGATGGGCAAATCTATATCAAGAAATGGAACTGGATAGGCATGATAATTACAATGATAAAAAGACTGAGCATCAAGAGAAACTGAAGAACATAAATATTCTTATGGCTATTGATATAATTGGGCAATTTCTGCAGGATAAAACATCTTCAAGGATTCTTTACTTGGTTCGCCAAAATATGTACGTGCTTGCACTCATTCATTGTGTTTCTTCTGAAATATTATTGCCTAAACGCAGTGTTAGCAATGAATTGAATCATATCTGATGTATTCATGATGAAATTTGCTACTTTTTTGGCATGCCATAAAATTTCTGATCTTCCGTTGCACTTCTTTTAGTTATCTTTTGGGGTAAATTACTCTCACTCCCTTGAAAATTGGCTTAATTATATGTCCCTCCCCTGTGTCAAGAAAATCCACATTGCTTTTCTTGAAATCAAAAGATACTCTGCATCTAACCCATTTTATATAAAATACCCTCAAGGTTTTAAAGAAAATCATTTCTTAAACTTAAGTAAAACTCAAACATTTCATTATTAAAAACAAAGAGTTTATTCACAAAATAATTTTTTTATTGAAGTCTAACTGTTTAATAGAAAATAATTAGTGATGTTTAATTTTAACAATGATATATGTGCTAAATGTATTTATTTAATCAACAACACTGTCATAAATATGACGATGTTAAGAAAAGAATTAAATTTATTATTTAAACACAAAAAAAATTACATTGGAAGTAGTTCTTAACAAAACTATGTCCTTGACTGTATATGGTCAGAATGGTTTTCTATTGTATTCTTTTCAGGAGACATCAGTGTAAACTTTCATAATAGAGAGGAGCACAATGTAATTAAGCCACGTATCTGTGGAGAGAGAGTAATTTACCGTAATTGCTTCAGTGGAATGATGATTTAGTACCAATCCTATGTTGCATTTCTTGAACTGATGATCCCTAGCTTCACAACTTTCTTTCACTTTATCAGGCCTATACACTGGCGAAGTTTTGTCCAGCAGCTGCAACTTCTGGGAGCTAATTCCTTCACATTGAGGAAATCGAGCAACATAAGTCCTGAGGTAATTCTCCAATTCACCTCAGATACTGGCGTACTTTTGTCTGAAGAACGCAAAATGAGCTCACAGCAAAAGTTCCAAGCAGTTATGGCTTTTGAGTATCTGTCCTCTTCTGCATCGCACTGCCATGGTGCCAGTCATTCTGCTCTCTGGATTCCTCTTGATCTGGTACTGGAAGATGCCATGGATGGCTATCAAGTTAGTACAACGAGTGCTATTGAAATAATTAGCGGTAAGACTTAAATTAGTTCTTGAAGTCTGGTGTAAGTGCTTGATATTATCTCTTTAACTATAGGTTTGTGTTTTTTCTTTCAGGCTTGATAAAAACCCTAAGAGCAATAAATGGTACCTCTTGGCATGATACTTTTTTGGGTCTCTGGTTGGCAGCTCTTCGTCTTGTTCAAAGGGTTGGAGCTCTTCCTCTACTAATTACTTTATTTTTCTGTAAAGTTTTAGGTTATGCTTTTCTTGTGCATCATATACTATTAAAATTCATTTTATGTTTGAAGGTTCTCAGTTCATAGGATCAGATTAACTCTGATTATAATTTTTCCAGCCAAATTCCATGTTTGTTCATTTTTCTATGACAAAGATACTTCTGGGATGAGGTTGATTGGTCTGATCTTTTTCCTTGTTGATTGATATATGGATCTGCTCATTAGTCCCAGAGTCCCAGTTGGTCACTGATACAACTAATTTGATAAGGTCAATGAATTAACCTAGTAAGGAAAAAGGAGATATCTATTCTTGATTACCATATGCTTCTTTGTTAAGATTGCATCACTTGTATACTCCTTTTGATTTAAAATTTCTGTGTTTCTAGGAAAGAGATCCTATTGAAGGCCCTATGCCTCGTATTGATACGCGCTTATGCATGCTCTTATGTATCATTCCTCTTGTTGTTGCTGATTTTATTGAAGAAGAGGAAATGACGCCAATTCATGAATCAGACAATGGTGCAATAGATCAATTGAAGGAGAAGAGTGTTCCAGGAAAGTGTCGCAGTGAATTAGAATCGAGTCTACAAGTATTGGGTGATTATCAGAGCTTGCTTGTTCCACCTCAGTCTATTGTTGCTGCCACGAATCAGGCTGCGGCCAAAGCAATGCTATTTGTTTCTGGTATCACAATAGGAAGTGCATACTTTGAATCCCTTAGCATGCAGGAGATGCCAATTGACTGTTGTGAGTGACTTATGCTTTCAGTGTAAACCAGAAGATATGTATACATTTTCAACAACGATAACAATATTTATTAGTTTTAGCTTTGTCCTTGAGGCAATTGTCTGCCATTTGTGGTTTTCTTTTAATACAAACGCACACGTACATCTTTACATTTTGAGATGAATTCCATCAACCAAATAGGAGTATTATAATGTAGCTGAGGGTCTATGAAAATGTAATCTTTAATTTAAGCTAATCTGAACATCATGTGATCTTTGGAAGTTACACTGTTTATAAATATTGGGAATACCAGAGACAGGAAGTTGTTGATTTGCACTTGACTTTATGTAGTGCCCTGAATATACTGTCCTATTGCTGCACTTTGCTTGCGTTTCTGATTTTGTTTGAAGCCCATCAGGATCAATGAGGTTCTGTGTCACGAAAGGTTGTCATCCTGTACAACATTTGAACCTGTGGAAACTTAAATGTAGTGAAGGCAAAGAAGCCTCCTTGAATACTACAAAGGTTAAAAATGTCATCCTTTGAAGACCATAGCATAGACCCTAGTGAGAATACACATCTGTGGCTGAAGACGATGTTAGGTGAAAAAAGAGAGAAGGGGCTGTACTGTGTTGTAGGACCTGGAGCCTTTGTATATTAGTATGAATTCCTCAATTTTTTTTAGTATTTACTTTTCCTAGGATCATTTGTTCTCCATTTAATATTTGGTTATTTACTTTACAAGGAACATGCATGCTTCCCTTCATGTGTCAAATGTGTGCAATTTTTTAATTGGGATTAAAAGGTTAAATGACTTGGGATCTTATTTTTCAGCTGGAAACATGCGGCATCTGATGGTTGAGGCATTTATTGCCCGGAATTTGCTCGACACATCTGCATATTTGTGGCCAGGTTATGTGAGTGGACGTATCAATCGATTACCTCAGTGTCTGCCAACTCAAGCACCTGGCTGGTCATCATTTATGAAGGGAGCAGCACTTACTCCAGCTATGATAAATGCTCTGGCTTCAAGTCCTGCTTCAAGGTATGTCTCTCTTTATTTAGTTAATTCGTTGATATTTTGGTTTCAGCAGTGCATCTCTGAGAAGTGCTTGTAATGTCAACCTTGGCAATACTGTAAAGCATTTGCTCCTCTGTACGGAGGCCTCTAGTTAGAACTTATGGTCTTCATAACATTGTCCGTTTTGGGAGCTTCTATGCGTTGTAATAATATAGCAAGAATGTTCTTAGTTCATTTACTGAGTTCCAAGATTATACTCATGCCCGTTACAGCTGACACATAAGATTTATGGTGGCAATAGTGGGTAGCTTTTAACTTTGAAAATTTAAAGGCCTGGTCTTCAGTTGTTCTTTTTCTTTCCAGAAGTCAGGTATATCAGATGCTCTTTTTTGTAAATTTACCCAAAGATAAAGCTACTGAATTTACGCTCCTGGATTTGATGGAAGCTTAGCAGAACTGGAGAAAATTTTTGAGATTGCTACCAAAGGATCAGAGGATGAGAAGATATCTGCGGCCACCATTCTTTGTGGGGCATCCCTACTTAAGGGATGGAATATACAGGTAATGGAGTTGGAAAATGTGGCCTACAGAAACTCTAACCTCTGGTACCTTGTTCAGTAGCCTGAAGCATTCTCTGTAAACTCTTTTATGCAGGAGCACACTGTTCATCTCATTATTAGGTTATTATCTCCACCAGTTCCTGCAGACAGCACCGAGGGCAACAACCATTTGATTAATTATGCTCCATTTCTTAATGTACTCATTGTTGGAATTGCATCAGTTGATTGTGTTCAAACATTTTCGCTCCATGGCTTGGTAAGTTTTATTTCAAAAGTTAGCATGAAATAATATTGTAATTTTTTCCAAAAATAAAGGTGTGGATTTAAACTTATTTTATCCAGAATTTGGAATTTTACCAATGCAAGTGATGCTCTTTAAGTAGACATTGCTTTTAATACCTTAGGTAGATTAGAGGTATTGAAAAAGTGTATGGAACTGGCTAGGCAATTTGCAGGTTTGGGGACTAGGAAATCATCTGAGTTCATATGCATTATAAACGTAGGTTGAAAGAGAAAACAGGAATGACAAGACCCAACAAATACATTCAATACTCAATAGTTTTTTAAATCTCTCAGGCTAATTTGTAAAGCTTTATTGTGTCTTGTAGCATTGCCAGTGCATAGTTAAGAGGTAAACCTTAATTGAAGAAATTAACTTTAACCTGGTAAATTAGGTGCAAGAAACTGAATAAAGCTATATCCTTTTGATCATTTTCGAAAAAGCATAATTTGTTTTCATCCTTTTTGCTTTCTTTTATCCCGGGAAGAGGCTGGACTCATGTAGTGAGGACTTTATCTTATTTTGATTAAATGCATTTTGGAAATCTTCCATCAGGTTCCACAGCTTGCTTGTTCGTTGATGCCAATCTGTGAAGTTTTTGGATCATGTGTGCCCAATGTCTCATGGACACTATCATCTGGGGAAGAAATATCTGCCCATGCTGTGTTTTCCAATGCTTTCATTCTGCTTTTAAGGCTCTGGAAATTCAACCGCCCCCCTCTTGAACATGGAATTGGAGATGTACCCACTGTTGGTTCTCAGCTAACTCCTGAATACCTCTTATTAGTGCGAAACTCCCACTTGATGTCTGCTGTTAACATTCACAAAGATCGAAACCGGAGGAGACTCTCAACAATTGCTACTTTATCTTCCCCAAATTCCATATTTGTTGACTCCTTTCCAAAATTAAAAGTCTGGTACCGGCAGCATCAAGCATGTATAGCCTCAACACTCTCTGGTCTTGTTCATGGAACACCTTTTCATCAAATTGTTGAGGGGATTCTTAATATGATGTTTAGAAAGATCAATAAAGGAAGCCAGACTTCTGTTACATCTGGAAGCAGTAGCTCTTCTGGACCTGGAAACGAGGACACCTCAACAAGGCCAAAATTGCCCGCTTGGGATATTCTGGAAGCCATTCCCTTTGTTGTTGATGCTGCTCTCACAGCCTGTGCTCATGGAAGGCTATCTCCTCGTGAGTTGGCAACAGGTATGGGTACTACCTTATTTTAAGATCAGGTTAGTTGTAAATCTATGCAAACATTCCAAATAACTAAAGTCCCGTTTTCTAAGGTGTTGGCAAACCTTGAAAATTTAGCTCATTCATTAGCTTAACCTTTTATAATTCTCCTTGATGTATTTGGGCTCTGCATTTATGGCAATAATTAAATTCCATATTCATGTCTTTTTATAGACGAGGTTGACATTATAATGCCTGAATGCTTTTCTCTGTATCAGGGCTTAAAGATTTAGCTGATTTTCTCCCTGCATCTTTGGCAACCATAGTGAGTTACTTCTCTGCAGAAGTAACTCGGGGTGTTTGGAAGCCTGCATTTATGAATGGAACAGATTGGCCAAGTCCCGCTGCAAATCTGTTGAATGTGGAGGAACAGATCAAGAAAATTTTGGCTGCAACTGGTGTTGATGTACCAAGCCTTGCTCCAGGTTTTTTTTTTTCCTGCTCGTTTTTGTGTTTGGCTGCTTTTGTGAAATTCTGAATACAAGGTAAGTTCATCTCGTGTGTCAATATTGCAACTTGTGTTAATTAAGTTCATCTTTTACACGGTTTTAATTAAGTATAAGGATCCAATTGATGTTTTGCCTGTCTTTCTACACCTCATTTTTATCTTCCATCGTTATTATGTAATTATTACTCAAGTGTTAGGAGCAAGAGGTCATCGTTCGATTCATTTCCACAGGGGGAAGCTCTCGTGCCACACTTCCACTACCCTTGGCTGCCTTTGTAAGCCTTACGATAACCTATAAAATTGACAAAGCATCAGAACGTTTTCTTAATTTGGCTGGCCCAGCATTGGAGTCCCTCGCTGCAGGTTGTCCATGGCCTTGCATGCCAATTGTGGCTTCCCTGTGGACCCAAAAGGCAAAGCGTTGGAGTGACTTTCTTGTTTTCTCAGCATCTCGAACTGTCTTCCTACACAACAGTGATGCAGTAGTTCAACTTCTTAAAAGCTGCTTCACAGCGACCCTTGGCATGAATAGCTCTCCTCTCTCATGCAATGGTGGTGTTGGAGCCCTTCTTGGTCATGGATTTAAATCTCATTTATGTGGAGGGCTATGCCCTGTTGCTCCAGGAATTCTCTATCTACGTGTTTATCGATCATTGAGAGATGTTGTCTTCTTGACAGAAGAGATTGTTTCCATCTTGATACACTCTGTGAGAGAAATTGTTTCTGGTGAGCTCCCAAAGGAGCGGTTGGAAAAGTTAAAAGCAGCCAAAGATGGCACTAGATATGGACGGGTTTCTCTCTCTGCAGCAATGACTCGCATGAAACTTGCCGCTGCACTTGGGGCCTCTTTAGTTTGGTTATCTGGGGGTTTGATGCTGGTTCAATTATTAATAAAAGAAACATTGCCTTCATGGTTTATAGCTGTTCACAGATCTGACCAGGAAGAAAAGTCAGATGGAATGGTTGCAATGCTTGGCGGATATGCACTCGCATATTTTGCAGTTCTTTGTGGAGCTTTTGCTTGGGGAGTTGACTCTTCATCATCGGCATCAAAGAGACGTCCGAATGTTCTGGGCATCCATATGGAGTTTCTAGCCAGTGCACTTGATGGTAAGATATCACTCGGCTGTGATTCAGCGACTTGGCGGGCTTATGTATCAGGGTTTGTGAGCCTTATGGTAGGTTGCACACCAAATTGGGTTCTGGAAGTAGATGTAGATGTGTTGAAGAGATTGAGCAATGGCTTGAGGCAGTTGAACGAGGAGAAGCTGGCCCTTGCTTTATTGAGTGCTGGTGGCTTGCGAACCATGGGTGCTGCAGCTGAGGTCATAATTGACAATGAAATGTAACCCCTTTTTCTCCAATATAACCTTCTAGGGTTCATGATATCTGTACAGTAGTTTCTTGCTCTTAAGCTGTGCAGCTATACGCTTCCTTTTTCTATCAACGGTTCTCTTGGAAAAGTACCACCCATGAGAATGAAATTTTGTAGATGTTCATCTTAAGCTGTCAAGTTTATCATATTGTAGTGATTCTAATTTGTAATATCTCTCCAATTACATGGTTCCAACTTCCAGCTTCCAAGAGTGCTAGTCTTCCAATCTGTGGCATGGAAAGGTGATTTAAGTGGAATCCAAAAGAAAGGTCATTTAAGGGAGAATTGTATCTCTCGAAAGGTTATTCCTCGTCGGATATGCTCCGAGACTTTGAAAAACTGTTGGTTTGCACGCTAAGTTGAAGAGCAATTACACATGACCCATTAACATCATCAGGGTATGTCAAAAATATAATATAATTATACTGATATTTGGAGGACTGACTGCAAAAATATATAATGGTCCAAGAGAGTGATTCTACTCAATTCAACTTTGTTTTATTAGGGGGCAAAAAAACTCTCATACGGTGCATATCAAAATATAGATAATAAATTGTTTAATTTTAAAATTTGTTACTCATACATATTAACAAAATTAAACAAATATTTTATTCTGAAATTTGTAATATACTTGATTTTTTTTTGCAAGCCCAAACGAATCAATTTCTCTTCACGTTATATCCTTTGTTCTAGAGTGGGCATGAGTTTAATAGTATAAAATAAAAAATACTTAATTTTTCGTACTCCTAAACGAACCAATACGTCTTCAGCTTGAATTATTTGCCATAGATTGCACGAGTTTTATAATGCAAAAAGATTTAAATAAAAATATACTTATTTTTTTTTTCATAAGTTTGAATTCATTAGTAAGCCTATATGAATTGATTCCTTTTCGCACTTTGAATTCTGTTATAGATTGCACCTGAGTTTTATAATGTAAAAATATTTAAATAAAAATATACTTAATTTTTTTATAAGTTTAAATTAATTAATGGGGAAAATTGCTCAAAAGGACAGGACCTGGTTAGAAGCAAAATTAATCCCAAGGACCAAATGTACTTAAAAGACTAAGGTTAATATTTTATTCATTAAATAATTTGAACAAATGACCAAAATGCTCCTCTATGTTAATCAATTTTTTTTTTAAAAAAATGCACAAAATATGGCCATCGGAGATCCGACCCCTCCTTCAACATGTGACATCTGTCGGTTAGCAGGTGAAGGGTCGCCATAAAGTATCATTAGAAAAAATCAACACCCCTTGATTACATGTAATCATCAAAGATTACATATAAACTCAATAACTAGAGGGTGCAAAAATTTTGACTTAGGGTACAAAGGTTCTAACTTAGAGTGCAAGGGTTCTAACTTGGGTGCAAGGGTTATGGCTTAGGGTGTAAGGGGTTTAGCTTGTGTGCAAGGGTTCCAGGTTGTAAAGCTTCTGGCTTGAGGTGCAAGGGTTATGATATAGGGTGCAAAGGGTATGGCTTCGGTGCAAGGGCTTTGCTTAGGTGCAAGGCTTTTGGTTTGAGATGTAAGGGTTATAACTTAGGCGCAATGTTGCTAGCTTGAGGTACATTCTTAGGGTGTACGTGTTATGACTTAAAGTGCAAGATTTTTGGCTTGGATGTAAGGGTTTTGACTTGAGTGTAAGAGAGATGCTTAGGGTGTAAGGCTTCTGATTTAGGGTACACGTGTTATGGCTTGTGTTATAGCAATGAGATTTACATGTGATTCGTAATCATTTTCATGTAATTCTGTGATGTTGACATAGATATGCTCTTTGTGTGTTGGATTTATATGTAATCCATTAAAGATTGCAGGTAAATCATTTCTCAATAATGCTTGTAAGTTTCTTCATATATTGATTTACATATAGTCTGCAGTCATTTTCATGTAATTCTAGGATACTGGTAAGGGCATACGTTTTATGTGTTTACATGTAAATCATTCCTCAGTCATGCTTGTGAGTTTCTTCATATATTAATTTACATTGAACCTGTAGTCATTTCCATGTAATTCTGGGGCACTAATAGGTGCATGCTCTTTGTGTGTTTGATTTTCATGTAATTCCCCAAAGATTACATGTAAATTATTCCGCAAACATACTTGTGAATTTTTTTATATTGATTTATATGTAATTAGTTGTCGTTTTCATGTAATTATAAGGGTACTAACAATGGCATGCTCTTTGTGTATTGAACTTGCATGTAATCCACAAGATATTACATATAATTGTCACACTAACAAGTGAGGATTCAATAACTTTACATGAATGGCAACTGAATTTTCAATGGAAAACAAATAAATGTTTAAGGAGACTATGAACAATAAAAATATGAAAGAAACAATAATTATTTTGTCAGTTTAGCTATATCATTTTTCAAGTACAAACCAAATGATAAACAAAGATTATAAGGCATCTCAAATAAAAAAAATATCATGGATGGTAAGAACAACATTATGCTCGTGTTAAGCTACATCCTATCCTATATAAAAAACAAATAAAGGAACACTCACAATAAGTTTTCTCTTTTTTAAGCATTATACATTATATAGCAAGCCATGTTAACCTATAAATGTAACATCTTTAATTTTAAACTATATTAATTAAGCTCGAATTAGGTTAAATTGAGTTTAATAGTGAGATGTGTGGCTAGAGAGGTCTAACAGGTGTGTTTAGTTTCATTTCTAGCCCTAAACATAGATTCGAAGAAAGTTGGGTCACCTAGGAATGGAGAGAGGAAGAAAAATTCAAGGGCAAGGATTTATGCCATAAGCTGCGGCTTGTAGATTAGGATGCCGCTACGTATGTGTGATAATACGCTTGGGAGGATACTCTTTGTGCCATGCACCACGACACATTGTGCGTCCACCAAGATGTATGGTCACTTTTTTGCTGAAATACAGTCACAAAATGAAGCAGAAGAGATAAAAATTAAGAGCTACGAGAGAGCAATGAAAATGATCTTCTAGGGTTTTGAGGATTTGAAGATTTGAAGTGGTTCTAAAGCCCATAAATACAAAAGGTAAGCTTGCTACACCTAAATCTTCCTATCTTCTTCCATTTTCTTGATGTTAAAAGTTAGGATTTGATTGATAATGATGATTTTTAGTCCATATAAGATATAGGTCTGAATCCATTGACTTAAATAGAGTTAATGGGAGTAGATTGACCTAATAAAACTTGATATTTATGGAGTTATGATGATTGGTGGTTAAGAAGCATTTAATATGCAAAATTTCCATAAATATATTGGTCGAGAATAATGTGATTCCATTAATGGCTATTAAAGAATCAATGATGTTAATGAAGGCTAGAGGAAGCTAACAAACCCGATGGGTATTCTTATATGAGTAGAGAATGAGTCTTGAGAGTGAAGAGTTGAATTAATAGTTGAAACTATCTAAAATTTGGATATTGATGAACTTCATTATGATTGATTGTAGAATAATCATTTTAGCACCATTTAAGCTTCTTAGAAGCTTTAGGAGTGAGTATTTAAGGTGTGAAACCTTTGACCTCTCAAAGATTTGAGGTAACTAAAGGAATTCTATCTTGTGCTTTTATGTGTTACTTAGTTTATTGATTAATATTTAATAATTGAATTGTGTGAGATTGATTGAAATGTAAATGTGGCATGATTTTTTTTTTGAAAAACCCACTATAAGGTGGTTAACTAATATAGTTCAATAATTTAAAACGTGATAAGTTTAATGAAAATAGTGTATTTGGGAGTTCTATGAATGTGTATGATATAAGTTCAATGATTTTGAAATTTCAGAGTTTAATGATTGTAAATGTGCGAGATACAATGATTATGAAAATATAAAGTTCAATGATTTGTTTTATTTAGAGTTCAATGAGGTGAATTTGTAATAGGATACACCGAATTATATATTAGAGGAGTTTAATGACATATGTATTATAGAGTTCAATGATGTGTGTTAAATGTGAGTACAATGAGATGATTGAGCATGTTTGAGTAGTGAATACTTACATGTAATGAGCTATTGTATATCTATGCACTGCATGATCATGAGAGGCGAAAGTTCACTTAAGAAGAGAGTAAAGAATTAAATTAACGTGGTAAGACTCCCATTCGAGTTGATGGCTTACCTAGATTGTTTTTATATATATTATCCCACTTATTCAACGAGGGACTGTTTCATTGGTTTAATGAGGAATGTGAACCTAATTAGCTATCCACTAATTCAATGAGGATGCTAGTTTAGGGAGTATGACACCTATAGTGTGAAAAAATGGGAGAAACTGTGATCTATAAGTGAGTTGAGAAAACCTTGGCCGGGTAACCCCATACATGTGTTTAGGCTAGGGAAATCTTAAATTGTAGACCATCTTAATATGTTATAATCCACGGTTTCGTGTTAAAGAAATAAGGAGAATATAAGGAAGATATGATCATGCATATAGAAAAAAGGGCACTTGATTTTTATAATGTGACCCTAGGGAAACAAAGTGTGTGGAAGCCTTGTTCTTTATGACATAGCCTTGATTGATTAATGTCTTATGAGTACGCATTATTGTGAATAAAAATATGGATGTATACTCTTAAAAACATAAATGATGAATTGATGTTAATTATTCTGTTGTGTATACTTGATTGAGAACTAAAGGTTGAATTACACTTTTGAACATGTCCATGTTTTGGAATTATTGAATTTACCACTTGCATTTAAATTAATTGACATACATTAATATAAGTTAGATGAATTGTGGTTATTGAGTGGTTGTACTCACCCCACTATCTTCAATATTACAGGGAATAACTCAAGAGGATTGGACAGAGAAAAACAGCCAGAGGCTTAGGACTACGATCCTATTAGTAGGCCTCTTTATTTTAAGTATTTATATGTATATGATGATTGAAATTGCGAACTAGGAATAATTCATTTTGCGTCTCATTTGCATTATGTATTTTTTGAGTTTTAAGAGTATTTTGGGCCCTAAGGGGTGTGTTTGTGATATATGGCATTGTTAGCAGGGCCAAAATACTAGTACAAGTAAGAGTTGGGTATAACTTGAGTAGTTTATGGATTATTTGATGAAATGAAAAATTTTAGCTCCCCTTTCTATTTTTGGAAATTTAAGGTTGAGCACTAAAAATGCTATTTTCTAGTATCCTATGTGTTGTGGTGTATTGCATAGGTTAGTTTAAGCCTTTTGTATGTGATTTGAGATGTGTCTATGGCTTTTGGCTTGTGGAATGGGTTTTGGACACTTAGTTTATGAAAAAGTAATGTAAAAGTGTAAGTTTTAAAAAGAGTGTTCAAATTTTAGTTGAGTCATAATTGGGTTATGAAACCTAAGCCATTAGTTAGAGCTCGAAAAATCTTCTCGTAGACATTTAGTTCGCATTGATTGGATGTCAGACAGAGGATTAGGAGGCGTCAAAAGTTATCCCAAAAGCTATCATTTTGACAGTAGATGAAAAGTGCAAGGCACTGTGACTTGTTGTCGTGGGGCATGATGTAACGAGCCGTGGCACATGGCATAGAGGCGAACAAGCCGCAGCGCTTGTTCAATGAGCCATGGCATATGCCCTTGAATACGACATAATTTCATGGTTTTATGACTTCTAATCAAATGCATTAACTCTTAAAGTGGTCACTTGCTTCTGCATAACTAATAACTCTGATTTGGCAATTATAAAACCTTTTGAAATGGTTTTAGTTTTTAAAAATTGGAATCCCATCTTTCCGACCTACTTGCAAACTTGGTAAATATGTCTTTTACCTTGAATTACTCCCTTAAGTAGGGACTTTTAGAGTTAATTATGGTTGTGAGAAGGAGGATATTGCAGTAAAAGATATAGATTAAATAATGTAACATAGAAAACAACTGAATTGTCCCAAAAAAATAAGTAAATGTGAAGAGCAAGAATGAACAATAATACTTTTAATGAAAGAACATTAAGGGTCCGTTTGGATTTCAGTTGGGTATAATAGATTATAAAAATAATTGATTAAGTGATAGATTTTAATCATAATTGATTATGTTATAACATAATCTGTTTGGATACTGTTTTTCTAAAATTGATTTTAACATAATTGCAGATGTTTGGATAATTTAATCAGAATTAATTTTAACTATATAAATTACTATATAATTTAATTTTTAAACATCAAATATTAATTTTTTAAATATACAAAGTTTAAATTTTATTAAGAAAAAAAAGGAAAAAGAAGAGAGTTTAACTTTATTTTTATTAAATTTTGTGCTTTCTTTGTAATTTTTTCTTGGGCCTTTCTTTGTAATTTTCCCCAACATTTTTGACAAACTTTTGGTGGAAAGCTGGTGAGAGGAGATTATGAAAAAACGCGCGTTTTATCTTTTTAATCGATTTCTGCGTTTTTGTGCTGTTTGGGTGATTTTGTTCAAAAAATCAATTCTAGACTGAAAACGCGCGTTTCTCTGTTATCCAAACATACGCTAATTCCATTTGGTTTGGTTTGGTTTATCTTTCTATTAAGTATAATTAAAATGATAAACAAAGATCATAAGGCATCCCATATTAAATATATTATAGGGGGTTAAGAATAACATCATGTCTATGTTAAACTACATCTTACCTTACAAAAAAAAAAACAAATAAGGAGGATGGTAATAAGTACACTTTAAAGTATAATCATAATTCCATTCAATTTTTTAGGGGAATTCTTTTATTAGTATTTCTTTATGGTTCACTTGATTTATGATATGCATGAGTTGAATTTGTAAGAGTTTCTTGACTTGAACTTATTTTTTCTCTTCTTCAGACAAAATCTTATGATTCAGTGAGTCTAAAGCATTGTGCTTGAAATGAAAATTAGTAGTCATCATAAGTAGGTCATTCATGCCATATGACATTTAGGTATAAGATGTTTATCTAAAACAAAACAATTACCATATGTTGTGTCTACCATCACATACAACACTATCTTTGTCAAATCTATTACATACAATGCTGCAACCACTTTCATTGAATCTCTTAAGAGATTATCTAGAAATTGAGAAATTAATAAAGGAACGTCATTATAGTTGCTAAAATTTCAACAGTCATCTTTGTCAAATCTTCATGAGAAGGCTAGATTAAAGATACAACATCCCATGATTGTTAGTATTCGGTGAAATCGTGGTACACAAGTGAGTTAATTCTAGCATGATAGCTCCTTATAGGTATAAGGCTGGGTTAGTCCAAGTTACAGACGTAACTGCTAATAGCCACCAATTTCATGTCATAGATAACAAAAGGAAGGTTGGCATTGATCATGCCTTTGTAGTTCCATCCATATGGTTGTTATTATTGTGGTCTGACATTTTAAGGGTGTATAGTTATTATTTTTGTGACCCCTAGATATGAATCACTATGATATGTTCAATGATTGCTTGCCCGGTCGTATGGTTGTTATTGTTGTGGCTGAGGATATATGTGCGTTATGTATAAAATTTGGATTTATTGCCATTTATATCTATTTTTAATTGATATGCAATTGTATAAATTAGGTCGACTTTGGTTACTAAGTGATTGTACTCACCTTTTATTTTTTAATATTTTTAGGGCCTAGTTCATAGGATTAAGATCAAGAAAAATGACTTGAGGCATAGGATTCTGAGTAAATCCTCCTAGTAGGCCTCTAGTTTTTATCTTTATGTGTATTGTGATAGTTAATTTGCCAACTAGAAATTTATTCCATTATTTTTGACTACTTGCATTATCGTTGTGAAAATTATGTGTATTTTGTGCCCTGAACTAGTGGTAATATGGTTGTAAAGGTTGTATAGAGCCAAAATACCAGTGCAAGTAGGGTAGAGTACATTTTTAGTTGTTTGGATGAATATAGACGATTTAATGCAAAATTATCTCCCCTTTATGTTTTTGTGAATTGAGGGGCTAAGAATTGAATTTATGATATATGTGTATTCAAATGGTTGTGTGTATTGCACAAGTTTTAAATGGTCTATTGAATGTGGTCTAAAGGGTTAGTGTAAGCTTTTGGTACATGTGTGGGAGTTTGGACACCTTAGTTGTATGTGTTTGTGAAAAAAGGAGTGAAATTTGTAACAAGTGTCTAACTTTAGATAGAAAAAATAATTTGATTACAAAACTTATGCCATTAGCTAAAATTAAAAGAAAACTCTCTATAAACACATATATCACCTCAATTAGACGTCAAATGGAGATTTGGAATGCGTTGAAATTTCATGCCCTGTACTGTCAAATTGATAGCAAAATGCTGTCAAACTCGTGCAATGTGCCGCAATGCATGGCACAAAAGCAACACACTGCGATGCACGTGCTGTTTCCTACAATGTTTCACTGTTTTGATGTTATATGCAAATGTTTTGATTCTTTTTTAATTCTCATGCTTCTGCAAATATTTTAAACTTTAATTTGAGTAAAGTGTACAAATTCATTCTAAATTGTGAAATCTTGATAATTCTTATTGGGTTTTGACCCTTGATTACCTTAGATTTAATGATTAATTGGGTTTAAATAAGGGCAACCTTACAACTTGCTATTAGGATTTTACTGCACTCAGCTAAAAATTCTACATTATCATATTTTTATTCAGCCACTAAACCTTATTCAAAAGGTTTTTATATCAATTACAAGCATGAGCATATAATGATTGAATACCAACAAAAATGATGACAACACAAAACAACAAGATAATGATCTCAAAATGAAAGAGGATGAATGAATATACTAGAAAAAAATAGAAATATAATCTTCAAGAAGGTACACAAAAACCCAATAAAAGAAAAATGAAATGAAAAACTCACAGCGCATGATATTATACTCACCTTCACTGCCATACTTTAATCTGGATCATAAGTATTGGACATTCCTTATACGAACCTCATAAATGGTGAATATTGCATACCCATAACGAGAGAGACAATTCATCCTGAAGTATAGTGAGTCACATACATATAGTGAAGTATCTACCAAGGAATTAGCATAGCAAAGAGTAATCCTCTGGTGGCTTCTAAAACATTAGAAAGGCAAACTCAAGGGTCTGAAATTGGAAAGCAGCAGAATCAAACAGGAAATTATAAGTGAGATTTAATATATACTTGAATGTTATGACAAAAGAAAATTGAAAAAGACGCATAAGGGAAGATACCAAATATGGTTCATAATTGAGAAAAGGAAAATTTGTAGTACAGATGTTAGCAAAGAGGATAAGTAGAAGAAACGCTCCTAAGTGGCTTTATTCTTTTAGTCTAAAATTTCAAGCGTCTCTTCATAGAGATATTTTTCTCTGATAGTTCTGCATTAATTGAGACAGTACCAGATTTTATGATTTGACAAACAACACGGTGAGACTTGGAATGGGATCTTAGGCATTGGATGTCTGGATGATGAGGTGATAAAAGGAGTTGCCAATCACCTTTAGCAAACAGAGGTGGAGGCAGTAGCAGTAGGAGGAGTCACCATTGGTAAGTTCAACAACGCCGAAAGCGTTCTAGTGGTTCTCCGATTAGGGCATGTGAAAAAAGAATTTCACACGAGCATTTCAATCAACACTGAAAATTAGATTATGAATATAATAATAGACTTCATCCTTTAAATACATTTGGTTCATGTAACCAATTTTAGTTCTAACTAGGTTTTTTTGACCAATTTTCCCTAATTAATAAGCTTATATGAATTAATTCCCTTTCACCTTGTGTTATCTATTCCAAGTTTTCATCTAGTTGTAATCTTTTTATTGTAAATACTACTTTGTCTGTTTTTTTTTTTAAATATGTTCTAAATTGTGTCAAAATATTTATTTTTTTTCCAAAAAAAAAATTTAATAATATAATTTTTTGGGTGTAGAAAAAAGTGTCACATCAATAGACTACCCATGTACCAAATAGACTAAAAGATAAATGAGTGGGAAGAATTTTGACAAAGAAATGGAGAGAGAATGAGTGCTGTGAGAAACTTGTGCCTTCAAGTGAAAGTGTGATAGAAGGGGAATTGTCTCAAGTTTATCTTACAAAACCACTACACCCAGGCATTCTCTTCGTTTTCTGGGTCCGCATGACTCTCCTTACCATCGATACATCCTCCCACCGTCCAGCGTCTGCATATATGTTCGATAAAAGAACCTTACTTCCACCATGACGGGGCTCCAACGCCGCCAAGCTTCTTGCAGCCCTCTCTCCTATATCCACATTTCCATGAGTTCTACATGCTGCTAACAGAGTTCCCCATATCACCACATCAGCCTTCATCGGCATGCTGTTCACTAATTCCTCAGCTTCTTCTAACTTCCCTGCTCTACCCAGGAGATCAATCATGCAACCATAATGCTTTATATTTGGCTCCAAATCATACACACTCTTCATGCTCTGAAAGATTCTCCTCCCTGACTCCACCAACCCCGCGTGGCAACAAGCATTGAGGACTCCTATGAATGTAATTGAATTGGGTTTAATATGATATCTCTGCAGGTCAGCGAAAATCTCTAGACACATATTTGCATGTCCGTGTGTGGCTAACCCACAGATGACTGCATTCCATGGCGACACAGTGGAGGTTTTGTCTTGAATCTGATTAAACAATTGTAACGCAGTGTTGATGCTCCCACATTTGGCATACATATCAATCAGAGCCGCCCATAGATTGTCATTCAAAAGAATGGAGTTATTATGTATGTAATCATGGACCCATCTTCCTTCCTTCAACAAGCCTAAAGTGGTTATTGCAGAGAGTACACTCACCATTGTGATTTCATTCGGTTTGATCCCGCTAGCTACCATTCCATGGAAGAGTTCTAGAGCCACATCAGGTTGAACAGTCTGTGAGTAGCCAGAAATCATGGTACTCCATGAATATATATCTCTTTCAGGCATCTCATCGAAAATTCTCCTAGCTTGATCTATCATTCCATGTTTAACAAATCCTGCCATGAGGGCATTCCATGATTCAAGGTGATCCTTTACACCCACCTCGAATTGCAGATAGGCAAGGTTCATCATTCTACAAGCTGCATAAAAATAGATAATCGTGGTCTGAAGAAAATCGCAACGATCAAAACCTCTCTTAACTATTGTTGAATGCAATTGTTGACCTTCACGAATTGCCATCACCCGACTACACGCTGAAACCAAGTCTACAAGCATGACTTCGTTAGGTTGCAGCCCAGTGCGTAACATTGCACAGTACATCATGAAAGCTTCACATAAACATTCTGTTCGCACATAACCATCGATCATTGTCCCCCACGTAATGACATCTTTAATGGGAATCTTCTCAAACAAATCCCTGGCTGTATCAACAAGACCTGCCTTCGAATATCCATTTAACATCACATTCCAAGACACTATATTCCGTTCAGGCATCCTATCAAAGAGTCTTATTGCCTCCACTAGACCTGAACAAAGACAATATGCATGCATCAAATTCGTTGACACACGAACCAATTCCTCCATGTTTAATTTAATAACCAAGGAATGAAGCATGCGACAGCTCCAAATTCCGCCACAGTGTGAGGAAGCGGAGATCACATTCACCATTGTCAAGTCATCAGGGATAACATCATTGGACCTCATGTCCTTAAAGACATTAATGGCTTCATTCCAACAATCATTTTGAACAAGACCCATGATCATGGTGGTGTAAGAAACACAACCTTTAACGGGCATTTTGCCAAACAGACGGCGAGCATCGTCCAATCGACCAGCTTTCACGTACCCAGCAACCATAATGTTACAGGACACGGGATCCAACTCAAAGCAGACTTCAAACAACAATCGGGCATCATTGATGAAACCACATTTTGCGTACATATTGATCAAGCTGTTCCGAATCAATATGTGGGAATGGAGCCCGGATTTTAAGATTAAACAATGCAATTGCCGGCCCTGAAAGGAGGCCAACAGAGAGGAACATGACTTGAGTGCCGAAACCAAAGCAAACGTGCACCCAGCATGTTTCTGCTTCTGTCTGGCATCGAAGAAAATTCGAATGCAACATTCGAGGTTCGTAGTTACCACAGGAACTTTGGAGGCGGTGGTAGAAACCCATCGTAGATTGGGTAAGAGAACTGAAAGATGAAATGTTAGAAATCGAGGGGAAATTTTGGGTACGGAAGAAATGAACATTGAACATGGGACGGATCATTAAAACTGCTGCCGTTACGAGGGAACAACGAAGAACCAATACGCTTTCCTTCGTATCACCGTCCTGCGATTGAAAAATTTTGAGACAAAACTATCCCTGGTCATAATAGTTTCAGACAAAAGTGCCCCTCTGAATTTCGTCCAGATCTCCATCGCTATACCTCGCACAAAACTCGATTTCTATCGCCGGCGAAGCACTCACTCTGTCTATCTCTATCAGCCCATCATTGTACATCGCTGGTGAAGCCTGGTTCGCCGATCTCCATCAGTTCGTTGATCTACTTCGATCTCCATCACTCCTTTTCTGCTTGGGCAGTGTTTCCAGGGTAATTTAGAAGCAGTCTAGGCAGCGAAAGTGTATATACATACTAGTGCAGAGTTTTGAGGAAGAGGTCAGGGTTGCTCTGGATCAGCTTTGCAAGGATGCTTCTGATATCCTCAACATTCTCAAGGGTTGCTCTGGAGCAAGGGTGTGCTTGTCGTGAACAGGCATGGAATTGGAGTGTTTGATCCAAGAAGATGAATAGGAAGAAGACAACGATAAGGAGTGGCGAAGGAGAGTGGTCGAAGATCAGAGGCAGACGACGGAGAGCCGCCGTTGTCGCTCTTTGAGGAGAAGGGGACTGATTGATATATGAATGTAGGGTTCCAATTTTTTTTCTTTTCATTTTATTACTTTAAAAAATATTATAATCTTTTTATAATTTATATTTAATTATAAAATAAAATAAAAGTAAATATTTTTATAAATATTACTTTATATCAATCATAAAGTTTGATTTTCACTCTCATTATTACGTCCAATTCCAATACCAATATTAATTTCTTTAAATTAAAATTTGCGTGCCAAACAAGGCAACAGATAAGAGGTCACAATTTTAATTTTTAAATTAATCCTACTTTTTTAAAAAAATTATTCATTTATTTACCAGTTTACAAGAACAGGGACGCCTTTTTTTTTTCATAAAGAAAAATTCAGTGTTACTAATTTTTATTCAAAATTTACATGCGACAAAAGTAAATTTCACAGATTATACACTGACACAATTATATATTTTTGGAATCAAAAGCTGTAATATAAAACAATATAGCTATAAGGAAGGAGGCAAAAAAAAAAACATAAAATTACCACCAATTCTCGAATCAAATATTAACACTTGAATTTTATTACAAAAAGTAAGAAAAAGAAAGCCTATGTATTGAAATTTAATTAGAGAATTGGCTATACAAAAAAGTGTTCAGAGAGGAGCTAAATCACCAACAATGTTTTCATAACCAGCATGATTTGAATTCATAATTTTGTAAATTACAACTAATTGGGCCACTTTTATAAGTTCTAGAGATCTTCTTCTTAAATGTAAAATCCTTTATTAAGAAAATTAAAAAGAAATGCCATCATCCATATTCTGTCTCTGTCAAGTGTCAACGCCATCATCTATATTCTGTTTAACAACTTCCTTGTAATTTGCAAGGCGTGCAATCAATTTAAGTTCATAACCGCTTTTAATCTCTCTCCCAATGCAAATCTATATTTTATATAATTTCATACTCCCTTCATTTAAAAATATAAAATATTTTTAATTAAATTTTACTCCCTAATAAAATAATTTTCTATTTTTAAATTAATCATATCTTTTCATACTTGTTCCTATTAAATACCCTACAATAAATATAAAATTATTATCAATAAGAGCACTTTATTTTTAAAAAAAAACAATAATTACACTTCAAAAAATTAAAAATACCTTATATTTTTAAATATCTAACTCTTTAAAAAATATTTTATATTTTTAAATAGAGAAAATATATGATACACAATCTAGAGATAAAGTATTTTATTTTAATGTAATTTTTGTATTTGGTTGTGTCGGGCACCTGGAACAGATGCCATCAGTTTTGCCACAATACATGTGTGGATTAACCATTTCATATTTAACAAAGTACGGCAACCATGATCCCAGATCCTACGCCGCAATTCCAATCAATAATGTTATTCTAAAGCGAAAAGTGAAATGATTTATGGTTCAACACTTGAGTCAACAATTAATCAAACATAAATCTGGTGTTTCATATATTTATTGTAGTTTAATTTTCCATGATCCCTCCAAAGTTCATAGACAAATCTCCAAGATGTGCTAGCACCAGATTATAACTGTCCTATTTCTTTATTTAAAAAAAAAAGGTTCTGACCAAAGGACTGCGTTACAGTAAAAAGATAAATCATGAAAATATTTAGATAAAATATACTTTTAATCTCCAACTTTATATAAAATTCAATTTAAATCTTTAAATTTATAAAATATTTTTAAAGTTCTTTAACCCTAATATCATTAGTTTCAAATGATTAGTTTTTATAACAATCATTGTTATTTTAAAAAAAATTAAACTTAATATGTCAATATTTAATAATATTTTATTAATATTCAAAAGTTTAATGTAAAAAATTTTTGTGATAAACTAATGATATTAAAATTAAAGAATTAAAAAAATATTTTATAAAATTAAAAAATTGAAATAAAATTTTATATAAAGTTAAATAATTAAAGGTATATTTTAGTCAAATGTTAATCATATAAAGAAGGCGCTGGCGGGAGAAACATCAGAAATAGTCAGGGATGATCTCCTCCTCCATTAAGAATTGTACTGGGTAGGGACCTGCCCAAATCATCAAAACCAAATTATTCAAGCATCATAAAAGGAAATTCACATTGACCACGCAGTAAAAATGAAAAATCACTCGGCTTTATAATTGTAGAGTACAACTGCATCAATTTTGGGCAAGTAGGTAGAGTAACCAATAACTTCTAAAGCAGGTCATGATGAAGATGCGTCAACCACTATTTTTCTTCTACATATATGAAATATGATAATGGACACCCCAAAGTTTAGGGGATATGAGATGTTTGAACAGTAAAGCTTATGATGGAAAATAAAACAACAAATGGCCATTCCAGAGAGCACTCGCCAACACAATTTACAGCCAAACAGACTGCCGTGAATTGGAAATCCAGATAGGAAGCAAGTCAGCAACTACAGGTAGGCAAATTACATGGGCAAAAGAGGTCAAAATGATGATGCTATAAGAAAGCCATAAATAATATAAATTGTCAAACAAGAGAAACAAAGTTGAGGGTTTCTTCTTTAAGTTACAGTTACATGATGTCACCAGCATCCCACCACCCTTTTCTTATTTTTTCTAGGACAGAGAGGCCCAACACGCTGGCCACTTGAGTGGAGAGTAGCCATGTGGGTAAAGGTCAAAGGTTCAAATGTTCCTAATATATTAGAAAGACTCAACATGGTGCAACAGAAAACCTCCCCCCTGGGCAGGGAAAAACACACACACGCCTTTCGAGCAGTCCACCAAAGCTAAGCAGAAAATATGTAAGATGGTCCAAATCCAGACATGTGTCACCCAAGCAGCTATTAATATCTTATTGACACTTTGTTCAAACGAAACAGTTTTTCACTGGGGTGTGTGAGAGAGGGGGGGGGGGGAGGGTCTCTCAGTTCACAAACATAGTCTTTCTGTTCATAACCCAAGCTGTCAAAAACATTGTCGGGTAAGAATAATTACATACCATGCCACTATTTGGCTGCAAAATTAGTGAAGTGCATACCAGATAGCGGCTCTATTATCCTCAACATCTTCTAACTACTAAACTTTTTAGTAGTTATTTAGAGCTCAAGCTACAGCATGAAGCAACACACTGAAGCTCTTACTAAGCTACATGTATAACGCTGCAACTTCCACTAAGTTTTGCCACAGATGCACTACAGGAGCTACAGATAAATAGGACAACATCAGCCCTAATTTAGGTTACACTGCAAAGGCTACAGCTAGAGATTCACTACACTCATCCTTGAGCCATCAGAGAAACACGCCTTTGCAACAGAAATTTCAAAAAAGGGCTTTGGAAACTTTGATTCCCACAATACCATTGACCCCATTTCATTCAATGAGATAGATAATACGCAATGAGTTGCTGATTGGCCAGGTGCATGAAGAACTAAATAGTAACCAAAATTATCTTATATTTAACGGTAATATTTGGCTTAGCTGAGGAGCCATCTCATCTATTATTATCATTCACATCTACTCCAATTCAAAAGAGGGCAATGGCATCCTTCTCTTATCATGCTCTTAGTATGGTTGATGAACTACTAGAACCATCAAAAGATGAAGTGGAAATTGAAAGTGCTTAATAATGATTTAGCATCTGATGAAGAAGAGAAATCAGTTTAAATTTCTTAGGATGAAGCTAACACTAATACTTTGTTAGATGTTGACATGTTTCATTGTTGAAGAACATGAAATTGTGATATTGGGATGATCATTGTGTTGTTTGACGTTGACATGTTTCACTATTTAAGAACATAAAATTGTGATTTTGGGATGATCATCATGTTGTTCGAGATTTTTTCATAATGAGTTTGGTTTGCTATATATATATTGATCATGAATTGTGTTGTCTTTTTTTCAAATTATGCGCTGCATTTTCATGCAGCGTCCACAGCACTGTGTTATACTATTTAGGAATGCTACAAGTGCAAAACGGGTATAATGACTGTCTTTAGTCACCTTACTCAGTGTAATCAAAATCAATAAGAATTTCAACATGCTCACAACACAAGCATAGCATTACTTGGTGTAGGGTGCTAGCCCACCATTATTGGCACGTTTGTGAAAATACACTCTTACCTCGGATTAGCCAAGGTCATTAGCCAAATATTGAATAACAGAATCAAATTCAGGGCGTGTAAGATGAAAAAAGAAAAGGTAGAAAAAGGTTTTATTAATAAATTATATATTTGGCTAATGGCCTTGGCTAATCTAAAAGCTTTTGCAGATGCCAGTGAAAAGTCAAGAGCTTGTGAAGAAAATGAATCGGCATTGAGCCCTTCAGTGCACATTAACCATCAGGTACTGCATTGCTCATTCAGCCAATTGGCAATGAACAATCAAAATGACCCTTCTTGGTTTGCTTTACACCCAACAGTTGAGATACAATTCAGCACAAATTAAAGGGCAGGGGCATCATCAGCTAACGTAAAGCAAATAGTCAGAGGCATCACTGCCCATAATCTGGGTCATCACTGATGAATACCTAGGCTGAAGCTTCAGACGTCTTTTACCTATGTCTATATGTAATATTACATTTTCAATGCATACCACTCACAGATTTCTACAAGATTACCTCGTCTGCGATACATTTGTGAGTGTTATAATACTTCATCAAAATTTTATATCTTAAGTTGTTGCCTTATGCTTAATAAAAAAGATTACATCTTTCTCACGCCGTGATACCAACACAAGCTAAAATGTATGCTCATCTGTCCTCATAAGATGATAGAAAGAGCGCAATGCTCAGGCAACAGTAAAAGAGAAACTGTGGTGATGAGCAGAAACCATTCTATAATCCGAATCACAGGTGTCAAAACAGATGATGCATAATTACACTGTCTACAGACTGTGCAGTAATTACGGAAACCCAATCACTATGAGAAAATAAAGCAACCAGATACTGTAAGTTTAAGCAGTAAACAAAGCTGATTCACATTGCAGTCAGAAACTAGCGAACATGAAATAATCAGACACGATTCATTCATAAATCGCCAGATTGAGTTAACAAGTCATCAAACTTACTTCTTATGCCGTTCCCATCCCTCGAGCTTGGCAACAAGGCACCCACACTTTGTTCGAAACAGCAAAACAGCATGCCCACTAGGGGGAGCCATATTCCTCAGCCGGACCTCAGACACTCATAATCGAGATTGTTCTCACTCCCACCCTTCCAAGGTAGATTATCAATCTCATCAGACCCAGTCCTGAGAGACTCCTCCTTTTGCAACTGCAAATCAAATTCCATCGCTTTCTTGAGTCCTTTGCATCTGGGCTTGCCACACTTACGGGATTGAGCACCACAGCAGAAAACAACTAATAAAATCAAAATGACAAAGAAGATGACGAACCTTAGAATCTGAGGGATCGTGAATTGGTAGAGCTGCGGAGTGAAATGAGAGAGAAGGATGGAAAGGGAGTTGAAGATGTAAGAGAAATAAGAAGAAAGAAGGAAAGCACTGGAGAAGACGACGAGAATGAGAATGAGGAGGTCAAGGGTGGCGGAAGGAAAGTGCTTGCAGGAAAGGCAACGAGAGCTGCAATTTGAATTATGGGCATGATTCGAGGATTTAGGCTTGGAGTTGGATGACGAGGATGAAGAAGACGAAGAGGAAGAAGAGGGCATGGCGGCGTCGGTGTCGGCGGTGGAGATCACGGTCCCGGTGGAGGCGTACAGAAGGTGATGCATGTTAGAGTCCGAAACGTGACTTTTTTTTTCGGAGAAATATAAAATGTGATTATACTTTTGTTATTTAACAGCCTGGCAATTAGAAGGAACCAATAGAGCCGTATAGTTTTTAAAGGGAAGGGATCGAAAAAGAGGATGCTTTTCTCTCTCTCTCGAGTAATGTGCCAGGACTAGATTTCGATGAGCTCTGACGTTAAGGACCAAGTTGGACCAGCCAGCTGATGCTCTACAATCAGCTAACAATAAGAAGATGAAGAAAAACCCCAATGAGAAAGAAAGACTCCACCATGGATGACCACATGATTAGTGAGGAAGAAGGGAATACAGAGATGCTCCTAAACCAGAAACGAAAATGAAAATAGAGACCACGACGATTGATGTAAACAAGAAGGTCTCATATCGTGATTCTCTACTGGGCTTCAATGGTATGGTAAATGATGCATCTGTAATGGAAGAAGATGACCTGTTCAAAGATATTGACCATATACCTTGGAAGATGCCCGAACCATCGGAAGAAATAAAAGAGCAAATGAAGATGTACCCAGTTATCCTCGTTACAGAAGAAGAAAAGACTAGTGCAGAGCTTGGAAATATGCTCTCATAGTTACTGCATTGGGACTCTACCTATGATGAAAAGATGGCTGTCCAGACTATGGGCGATTTCAAAATTTGAGATCATTGATCTACCGAATAATTACTTCACCATTCGGTTTACTAACTGGGAGAACGGGAAGCAGTAATATAGGAAAGTTCTGTTGGAAGGCCCCTAGATGATCCAACAGCACTGTGTCATTGTCTAGAGGTGGGATCCCTTTTTTGATGTGTATAATAATGCCTTAGGGAGAACTGCAATTTCCATCAGAGTACTAAATGTGAACAGCACTGCTATATAACAAGCATCTTACATGGAGACTCGGGCATTGAGTGGGGCGAACACTTAAGGTAGATATGAATACCCTCAATGAGGTAGGGATAGGGACTGAGAAATTACAAAAGATTGAACGAGGTAAATATCCCCAACTATGTATAGAAATTGACCTGTAAAAAAAGCTTGTACCTAAAGTTATATTTGGAAATATGATTTACAGAACTGAATATGAAGAGATTGGATTGATTTGTTTCTCTTGCAAACGTTATGAATATCGATAGGAAGATTGTCTATGGCAACATGAGCACAATAGCCAGAATAATCAGGATTCAAGCGATAATGCCAATCAAGCAACCATATGAGGGCGAGAACATCTTTAGATTATGGATGCTGGTAGAGGAACTAAGGTTTGAACACTATTCGAGAAGGAGATGAGGATACAAAGGGCAATACAACCAACAAAGAGGAGCTAACAAGTATGTTAGAATGAAAAGGGAGGAGATTCAACAATCTCGTTTTGTAGTGATAGCAAAGCTAGGGTAAGAAGATCAACTCACAAAGAGTGTTAATACTAACACAAAAGTGGCACCTGTCACAGAGGGGGGAGAAAAAAACTGTCTCCCATCAAGACAATTACCTCAATGTAGAGTGGGCAAAACAAAAGGGACCTATAAATCAAGGTCACATCAACGACGTTAGAGAACCAATCCTGGGTAAAGAACATTAGGCAAAAAGGGATAAAGAAAATATCCAACCCAAGAGATCGAATAAGGCAAAAACAGGAAAATACACTGTTGGTGGATCCACTCCTAAAAAGGTTAGGCCAAGTCCTTCTTACCAACCCAAGACTCCTCAACATAACCAAAGGGTCCATGCTGTAGTCATTGGAAATAACTCACCAATAGACCGAAATAAGGATAAGCCCATAATGGAAACTAAGGGAGCAGTGGTTAAAAGGCTCAAAGAAAGTGGGTTCGGGATTCTAAATAATTCTAAGGGTATCCTCTTCTGGGCTTGTGTTGAGAAAGAATATCACCTTTAATCCACCAAACCCAAGTAACGAGAAAATCAACCAGAAAGGAGCAATGGTGATTTGTGAAGATGGTAAGGGAAGGGGTGCGAATTTGCACAAGGAAGGCGCTGAGCCTATGGAAGGAGACAACATTTAAGTAAGGGCTACCCTTCTCACCTCCTTTTTTTGTGATTTTTTATGATTATTTCTGTTTGGAATTGTCGGGGAGCTAGAAACAAGGCTTTCCCCCATCTCATAAAGGATATTAAGAAAAAAAATAAAGTTGACATTCTTTGCCTATTGGAGACTAGAATCAGTGGTTCTAAAGCTGACAATGTTGTTCAAAAATTTAGTTTTTCTAATTGGATTAGAGTAGAGGCTACAAGATTTGCAAGTGGCATATGGGTTATGTGGAATGATTTTGATTTTATTGTTGAATATTTGTGGTCTAATACACAAATACTCCACTATAATATTGCTAATTTGCATTCAAAAGAGTCCTCCCTAGTTTCTTCTATGTATGGAGAAACATAAGAATTGCGACAACATCAACTCTAGGAAGCTATTGAAACTATAACTAATGCCAGTAATGATCCTTAGTTAATTTTGGGAGATTTCAATTCTTTTAGAAATCCCACAGACAAAATTGGAGGTTTAAATGTGGTTAAAGCCAATGCGAATAATTTTAGTCATTGCCTTTCTACCTCAGGACTGTTGGATATACCTTGATAAGAGATCGTTACACCTGGGAGAAAAATGGAGTTAAGGAGAAACTAGACTGGGTGTTTTGAAATGCTTTTTGGCTACTTAGATTTTCAAACTATAAGGCTTTTAATTTTTTAAGATTCAAATCTAATCATCGAGTCATATTGGTCACAGACAAATTGGAGACAAGGAAATATCAAACTTGTTAAAGATTTATATATAATGCTACTCAGGCTTTGGAGGAAAGCTTTAAAGAGTTGTGCATGCCACTTAGGAAAATAAAAATTGGATTGAAGGTGTTGAAATATTTCCCTCGAAAGTTACAGAGTAGAATGCTTGTATCCTTAGTAGTATCCCAAAGAAGAAGCATAAAATTCTCAGGCGACTTAAAGGTATAGATAAAGCTATAAGTACCAGTGACAAAAATGGTTTGAAAAAAATAGAAACTAAGCTCTAGGAAAAATATCATAAGCTGTTAGCACAAGAGGAGCTTATTTGGTACCAAAAATTTAGGTGCAAGTAGTTGAAATGGGGTAATAGAAATACTAAATTCTTTCATGCTGCAACTATAGTTAAAAGGAGGAAAAAGAAAATTGAAGCACTTAAAGATGATGGTGGTAATTGGGTCATAGACCAAGATAGTCTTAAAAACATGGCTTGTGATTTCTTTGAAAGACTTTATACGAAAGAAACTTACACCTTTGAGATAAAAAGTTATCATGAAATTAAACTTTATATTTAATTTAACTTTTCTATGATTAAGGTAAGTTAGAAGCTTAACAATTCCTAATTACCATTGTATGACTTGATTTTGGTTAAGTGATTGGTAATGTTAAGGTAGGTATTGTTGTTTGGTATTAATTTCTCAAATTTAGAGATCTAATATATTGTGATTCTTGTGTTGCATTTATCAATTAATAGTTGGCAACTTATATACATTCTTTACATAACTCTTTCCCTTTGTCTACATTAGTAATTACATACTAACCCTCTTTATGGTTGGTTTCTTCCTTGAGAGAGGAGAAAATGATAAGGCGAATTCCAATTACTGGTCATCAATCAATAAATCAAGAACCTATACCAGAGGTATCACCTAAACAAGAACAACGGAGGCCTTAAGGCAATGATGCTCTTCTAGAAGAGCTAAGGGAGAAGATTATCGATATATAACGAATTGTACAAGACCCAAAAGCATTTCAATGGCACTTAACGCATGTAAAATCTTGTTGGGGAGGCAACATGTAACACCTTTAAATTTTAGCACTTATTTTTCACAAATTAATAGTTTGATAAATTATTTTATAAATTTTAAACTCTTATCATGATAGAAAAGAAATTATAAAAACATTTAACAAATAGTTTACCATGATAAAAAGGGTCTATCATGGTAAAAAATTCAAACATAATAGATTTACTTTATCATAGTAATTAAGAAAAGAAATCATTAAATACTTCAAGTGTACATTTCTATTATAATTTCAAAGCCATGGTCAAATGAGTAACATTTCACAAACTATACTTTTTGGATACTTGACTTAAGCCCTAAATTATACATTTTCAAACATTGGTTACCATAAAAAAACTACCACATAACGGCATACTTAATTGAAATTTTACTTTACAAATACCCAGGGCCATGAGAGACAGACATAATTCTCTTGGCATATAAAGTACAATAATAAATAGAGTCTACATGCTCAATATATATATATATATATATATATATCTCCATCCTAAGTTGGCATAATATACATCATTAATGAGAATAAAGAAGCTAAATCAGAAAACGGTGTCTCATACATTGAATTATGCCTCAGATACTTCTCCGGCCAAACTCGCTCTTGAAAAATTAATAACCACGAGGAATGAGACTTAAAGGTCTAGTAACCAAATAGTAATATGTAATAATGGATATCAAATAGTTAATCATGTAATTGCTAAGTGGGCAAATAAAACAACAATCCAAACAATTATTTAATTAGCATGACTACACCTTATATCCCTTCTTATGCCATGCTCGGACACCAAGTCACTCGACCAAAGGTAAGTTGGACCAAGTTATAAGCCACACATTAATTCTAATGAGGGCTTACTATGTGGTAACTCAACCAAATAAAAATCCCTACCGAATAATTTTTAATATATTTCGACCAGTCATATGTTTATAACAGTCGAACAAAAATCATTTGGCACATTTTAGTATCAACAGACAATTTATCTCATATTTTCAGTAGTGCCAATATTCACAAAATATTTATAATTACAAATTTAACCCACTTGGTAATTATTTTCGAACAAAAATATAATTATATATTATTTCTCAACAAAAATCAAGATTTTTCAAATAACAAAACAAACACACAATTAATCACACACATACACACTACGACATTTTAATAATGATTATCTTGTATC